GTCTGTCTGCATTGGTGTTGTTGTGGTATTATTACCTGTATTGGATGTTGGGTCATGTGTTTTGTTTGTTTGTGTGTCTGCTGTGTTTGTGTTGTTTTGTGCGTTTGTATTTCCCATGATAGTTGTGTTGTTGTTATTGTTGTTTCCCATTATGGTTATTATTGTGTTGTTTTGTATAACATATGATGTCATCATGCGTTTTGATGGGGGTAAGCTGTTTTGCCCACTTTTTGTTAGTTTTTTTGTTGGTTGTAGAGATTGGTATGTTGTTGTAGCAGCATCTTTTGCTTTGAGCTAGAGTTTGTTGGTTGTTGCTTGTATTAGTGCTTGGATCTGGTTTACAAAATCTGGATATATCCAGATATAAAAAGAATAATGGATACTCTATTTAAAAAAGGATATCCAATCTGGATTTAATTTTTAAATCATTATAAATCTGATTTTTATCCAGATATAGTAATAATAATAAATGCATTACTAATTGAGTGACAACTATACCAAATATTGAGATACTCGACTTAAGCCTCGACTCTAATTTCACCATTTTGGTAAAATAATACACTACTAACTGGGAAATTAATTGTCTTCATGATAACATGTGGGTGGTTATGCCTCGAATCTAATTTATCTATTTTTAGTTAAATGTGCAATTTTGGCCAAAGCGGACCGTTCTTAAATGTCTATATTGAATCTCATATAATAATAGATCAGATATTATAACTATTTCATTCGTTGATTTAGATTATATAATTATTATTAAATTCCTAATTGCAAATTTTCACAAAGCATTGCCAAGGTTGAATCCAATACATTAGAATTTAAAATCTTACAGGTTTTTAGTTAGCAGCTATTATACTTTTCATAAAAAATTGCCTGCACGATAGATATCAGGCATTAGATTAGATAATTCTTCTCACAAAGAATAAAATATATTCACAGGAACTACTAGTACTAAATGGGATATCATCAATTAAAACAGGTCATTGTAAGAATATAATTTACCTATTAAATATACGCATACATATTTTTTTAATATTAGATATAACATTATCAATAGATCCAAATATAATCAATTTTAGAACGACTTAATTTATGATGCCCAAATAGTATATATTTCAATGATTCTCACTCTAAAAAGTAGTAGATAATAAATAAATATAATTCCAAATGAAAATTAGAATAATTTTTTTTATGTTAAACTCAGTATCTAAGTTATAAAAAGTGAAATAAGATCATTATTTCAGTTTTTCTTGGCGTCGCCCATTTTTGTTATAAGGATAACAATACATAAAGTTATTCCTAATTGAAACAATATCAAATGATATGAGATCTTTCATAGTCCAGACTAAAAATTAATCGCTATATGAAAAATGATAACAGAAAAGGCATATTAATTAAATATACAAAAAGTATAATACTAATACTGATCCAGGAATTTTTAAAATCATTAATGCTTGGTTCATATGTAAAATTGCGAAAATATCTAAAGTCTCATGAAAAAGTAATGTTAAAGATAAATTAGAATTAAAATGCTAAATATAAATAAGGAAGTAAAATAGAACTTACTAATGAAAATGACAATTACATAAAGCTATATTCAATAGCATATTATATCTGAAAAAAATGGTGATTTTTTGTTACAAATTCTCTATAAAAAATCAAGCGATAACTTTTCATATCCAACAATTAAAAAAAAAAATTGAAATACAACATTTGAATCTTTATTTACTAAATCATATGCAACCAAAATGTCAAGTATTAAGAAATGAAAAAGTAAAAACTCAATTGATCCCAATTTTATATCAAATTCCAACCCTAACTTTTGTCTTGAAGATGCTATTAATACTTCAAATAATGATACAGTGATGAAACGTTAAGTGATGATAACATTAATACAAGTTCCAATAGTGATAGTGATACAGAACACACTAGTAAAAAATTAAGAACCAAAACAAAATCACGCAAAAATGAAAGTTGGGTTTGGAAACATTTTCGCAAAAGACTACCCTCAAAAAAATGGAAAAAGCGTGCGAATTGCACTGTAATTATACAAGATAAAAAATCTCCAAATAGTCAGCGTGAATGCGGACAACTAGTCAAGACTCAGGGCTCAACAGGCAACTTTCAATCCCATTTAAATACTTATAGAATTACTAAGCCGATTCAGAAAAATAGTACAACTCCTCAACTAACAATTAATAAGATGTTTCAATGTACTGTTAAACAGAATTCTCGCCAAAAAGAATCTATTGAGCGTGCCTTGGTCGAATGGATAGTCACAAATTCACAGCCTCTTCATGTTCTGCAAAGCGAAAGCTTTATTAAACTAATTCATATTAAATCCATATTATGAATTGCCTTTTAATAAACAAGTTAAAGCATGAATTCACCAAAGCTACAACTATTCAACTAAACATCTTAAAACTCTTTTTGTAACTGAACTCAAAACATACAGTTTGACATGTGATTTGTGGACTGCCCGTTCTAAAAGTGGGTACATTGGAATTACGTGTCATTTTGTTAATTCAAATTATGAGTTAAAAAAAATTATACTTTCAGCCAAGTATGTTTCATATCCCCATGATGCCATAAATATTAAAGCTGAATTAGAGGATGTAATCAAGTGTTAGGAACTTTCAGGAAAAGTAGTTTCAATTACGACTGACAATGCGACCAATATGATCAAAGCTATAAATTTGATGGATCAGGTGGATCGAATCCCCTGTGCAGCTCACACGATACAACTCGCTATTAGAAAAGGATTAAAACCTGCAGTAATTTTGATCCAACGTGTAAAACGATTAATTAATTTTTTAACTACGCCAAAACAAAATGAACAACTACAAAAAGCACAAGAAATGTTAAAATTTTCAAAGGAAAAAATTAGTAGTGATGAAAAATCATATCGTAGTGCAATTTCTGATATCACAACCTGCTAGAACTCCTCCTATATTGCATAAAAATGGCTTCTTTAAATTAAGCATGCTATTAAGTTAATGAAAGCGACCATAAGTGCTGATTCTGATTCTAATATTCATAAAGATGCAAACCGGCTAAAGTCTATGATGATTACTGAAGATGAATGGATTGTCCTTGAGGAATTGACTATGCTCTTAGCACTCTTTGCCGAAATTACTGAATTACTAGATGGTAGCAATTACTCCACGCTTAGCTTTCTGTGGCCAGCTATTACTATTCTTACCCAAAACTGTGCTCTATTAGTAGTTAGTACAAATGCTAAAGAAATCGACTTAATAGATACGTCAGATGTATTTGATGATATTGAAAAAGAAAATATAATTAATTTGGATGAAGAATTAGCAACAATTACCACTATTGATGGAAGTAAGATTAAACTCAACCAACCTTAAAACACAAATAGTTTAGTAAATAAAGTTAAAGAAAAATTATATATGGCATTAAAATATTATTGGAATATACCAACT